GAATCAAACTCATGCGGAAGTGGCTTTAGCTTCTCAGTGCAGTGCTTTAACCCGCTGCGCCAGCAGGGAGGGCCTGATGTGATTCTTTTAATAGAAGTGTCTTCCCATCTTTCTCCTTGCTAACTGCACCATCCCTGTGTTCAGCCCCAGCTTCAGCATCACCTTCACTTTCTTCAAGATGCTTTCCTTCCTACACTTGCTGTTTGATGTTGCAAGTATCTGTGTTTGTCTCCCTTCCCCGCCCCCCTCCCCTTCCAGCCTAAGAATGAAACACCCGTGGAACCAAAGTACACCACTTCTTCTCTGCCAGCTCACCTGCTTGGGATCACAAACTTAAGCATTAATTATCATAGACGTTACGTCAATATTTTTTGCGGAGGGATTCTCCAAATAGGTAAGACATGATAAGAATTGGTACCATAATTTAGATTGTAACATCTTTAGACTTCAATCCACCGGCAGTTTCCTAACAGAGATGTCTATGAGAAAAATCTCAGGTCTCATTGAAATGGTCCTCATTTTGGTGTTTCATACAGCTGATCAATGATAAGCTATACAAAACGATTTAGTTATGAGCTATTGTCACATTCTAATACCCAAGAACCCACAAATATTCTATAGAGCTTAAAATATTTAAAAATAGAAAGTAAAGTGTAGGAATTCGTAACCAGAGAACACAAGAGTGTTCATAAGCTTTAGAAATGGATAATCTATATTTTATTTTCTGCTACAAATCAAAGAAGTCCTTGATGACATATCTGCACTTATTTGCTGCCTTGATGCAGTCTGTTGGGCATCCATAGCACATGTCAACACCATCAGAGTAACTGGGTCTTTGATCTACTCAATAATATTGGACTACAGCATGATGAAATAACCAAAATAGACTTTTGACAAATGGCACGTCAAAAAGTGTGGATGTTGCATTTTGTATTGGAACCCACGCTCCTAAAATCAGGGAAGAAAAAACATGTAGTGTTTCCGCATCCCCTCTGGCTTTCCTTGATGCATATTACCCAGGGTTTGAAGGTAACCCTCCAAAATATTAGCTGAAAGCTTCCTCAGAAAGCAAATCTTTCCCACATCCTTCCCTGCAGTTCCTCTTTAAGAGGTGTCAGCATGGCTGAAAGAATGAAGTGGCTGCACATTGTTTGGCCGAGCTATTATGTGCTTAACATTTCCATAACAAAAGTGCCACTCGACTTCTCCCCGATTAATGCAGCTCGAGGGCTCTTGTCTTCCTTTAATAAAACATTGTTGAAATCATTTATTTAGAGCCCCTGGTTACTAGTGGGAGAATGACCATCTTTGTGCCAAAATATAGTGTATACAGTTCACTATTTTGTAGTAGATCATTCTGTTATTTAAGAAATTGATGAAATGGATGCCTTAGAAGGTATTTATGCTAATAGCACATTACTTAAGTCATTCAGATAGCCCAGGGTGAACCTTTTCAACTGTCCAGCAGAGGCAATTCCTCAAACAAGATACAGTAACATTCAACTTTACTTAACTCACTAGGCTGAAGACCCACTGGAAAACCAGGCACCCAGAGCTACTCTTTGGCTACAGAGCATTTTGTGATATGAAGCCTCTCAGTAATCTTACTTTGGGGGACTGGGAGGACCAGGGCAACTGCAACATTCCACTCCTGATGTTCCCTGATGTTCCCTGATGTAAGAGGTCAGAAAAAAAATAATGTAGGCTTTTTCTTTTCACGGAGAAGGTTCAGGCTATATGGGGATATATGAGGACATGTTTGAGAACTCCCTGGTGAATCCAGTAGGCTAATAATACAAACCAAAGCTTAAAAGTAGCCAGGTTCTCAATATAAAGCGTGATGTCTCTGGAAGTTCTCGTGGCATTTTCCCTCTTTTTAGTCTAGACACACAATATTGCTGGGAGGGGCTGGGGTGTGACTGCAGGGAGTGGTGAGGAAGGGACAGCCACTCCTTAAGATTTGTCTCGGTTTAAGGGAGAGAGACTACCCAGCAGGACTCTCTGGGGCAGCTGCAGTGCACCCCAGATGTGCCAGCTGGGTGGCCCCTCCACTTTGTGGCAGTTGGTCCCAAGAGGCAGCTGCCTTCTTCTTTACTTATGAACATGCGTCAGAACCCTGCCATGTGCAGAGATGTCCTGTTACTTAGAATAGGAGAAGTTGGTTTCCTCCAGTCATTTTTTGACTTTACAGAAGTGTATTGCTCTCATACATGGCTATATATTGTTAAAAATAAACAGAGACCTTATGTTATGTCCATTGTGGTCATATACAAAAGCATTGCTGTGTGCTTGGGTGATCAGTGAAGCCTGAACCTCCTTCTATTTACTGTATGGTCACTGTCAGTTCAATGAACTGCCTCCTTGTTCTCCACCATTGTCCCACACTCCCTTAAACATTTGTCACTGAAGTGCCTCCAAAGACAAATAAACTGTCACTGAGAAGGCAAACCTGCTAACTGGGGCAGTGAGGACGGCTGCAGGGACTCATGGTTTCGCATGAAACTTGCAAGGACTGGTAGTAGCTCTCCTCCTGAAAGACTTCGTTCAGCCATGTGCCCTTTTTAAGTATCTCCACAAATAGCCAGAGATGCCTTTTCTTTCAGTAGTAGTATCTGCAGGCATCAGAGACTGCCAGAGGTCCAAAAGTCCAAAAGGTTCCCCAGAGAGGTTGAGATATTACAAATGTCAGCATCTGTAAAAACCCTGTCCCCTGGGAGCATCTAGCAATGTGCAGTCCCATAGCCAACAACCCAAGGTCCAGACATCTCAGCAACCTGTTCTGGAATCCACTAGGTCTGCAAAGGGATGAGGAAACTCCTGCGCTTTGGCATAGAACTGTTTAAATTACAATGGACCACCGACCTATGTTCACTTTCTCTAAGGAGGAAAGCAGAAAGCCCCGCGTCCTCTCTCCCCAAAAGCCAGTTGTGTTGATTTATTCCAGGCAGATGCTTTTGACAGGACCCTGTAAAATCAAGTCCTGAGTTTATTGTAGCAGTTAATTATCAGGCCTTTTCTAGTGCTAATGCCCTTTACTTCTTACTGGGGGAAACTGGCCATTTACTAGGACAAAGACAACTTTTAGTGAAGAATGTGTTAAAATAACATGAGATGAAGATGACTTAAATAGGTGTAAGAACAAACGCAGGAGCTCTGCTAACTCATCATTTTATACAGAAAACTGATTTCATTTACTGTCTCTTGGAATACTCTTTGTTCACTTCCCAAAGAAACAAAGATTTCAGCTTTGTTTTAACAATATGTTTACTCAACCATTCAGGTGACTGGGGATTCCAGCCACACACCGCTCTCCTAGGCTAGTCCAGCCCTACAACTATCTCAAACTTTCTGTCTTTATGCACACACGAATCTCGGCTTTAGATCTAAGTGCCCCCAAGTCCTGGAGGAAGAGCAAACGTCCAAAGTAGGAGGTGGGAATGGGTGGGAGGAAGTTGGAAGAGGGGCGTAGCTTTGTTAATTACTTCAGGCAGCAGAGAAATCTGGTTGTGTTTTCTCAGCACATGTTAATATCAAATAAAGAGGCACGAGATCTTGCTAATCTGTCGACCCCTCAGACAAAGTTTATTTGTGGTGACTTTTAAACTCCTGACTTGCCTTCCAATCACCGCGTTTAAAATGAAAAGCTTTAAATAAACACCAGGAATAGAAGATAAATAAACTTTTTCCCCCCTTGCAAGTGCCTAGCTTGGCTAGGTTCAGACTCAAATCCCCAGAGGACAGAGCACTCTCTTTTGTGTTAATGTTTAAAAGATTTTCCAATGCCGGAGTTTATTCCTACTGCAAACATTTCTATTTACAAGGTCAAGTGTATCAGCACTCGACACAGCTTAAGAGTGTAATTATTTATCTAAGGGCGTTTGAGTGTAGATCAGTAGCTCTGGCAGGAACCCAGCCTTCAGCCCACTGCTAAACAACTCCTCACAACAATATTACAAGTTCTGGTAATTGTTCCTCTCCCCAGTGTGTTTACTTTTGCCCGCCTGGAGGTTTTGTAACAAAATTTTATACTTCTTCACCCTAAGTGTGAAAAGGACTTTGAAGTTATCAGTCTCCTAGGTTTCTTAAGACCGATTGGTAACAGATGTTATTGGCAAATTTGAGTGTATGAGAGCACACTTCTAGGGATGGGGTTTGAGGAGAGGTCAAAATGAAAAAGGGAAGACAGAAAGGTGCCCAAGCTATTCCCAGGTTACCTAGATGGGACCCTGTGTTATGAATTGTCCACCAATGCGGAAAATAATGGAGGTTTGTCAATTACTTCTTTTATTTGCCTCATTGACAGATGTCTAATCAGTCATTAGATTAAAGGCAGAAATAATCACCCTCATTTGTTTTGTGCTGTATTTTAATTTCAGTTGATGGTTGATAGATTCCCAGTGACCATTCCTCCTCCCTCTTTGCCCATTATTGGGTTAACCTCAATATAACTCTGGGAAAGAACTACATCAGATTCCTTATTTAAAACTCTTTTTACTGATGTACACATTTTAATAAAACAAAAACACACACACACACAGAGAAAGCATAGTTACTTCAAACAGGATTTTTTTTAAAAAAAAAAAGGTCTATAAAAATACAATGTTTAAGGCGGTTTGGAAATGCATTATACATTTCTACAATGTCCATAAATTCTCTTGAAAATAAGAATGTTAACTTCAAATCTATAAAATACACTGTACATTTTCAGACTATTCTAGGTAGAGCACACTTCACAATGGACTGTGGGTTTGAATCCCTGGTGACAAACGGAGTGTAACATGGATGCGGATATAATTTTTAAATTTCTTTTTAAAAATAAATTATATCTGAAGCATACAATTTATAAAAATTCTATATACAAAGTACAGCAACTGGTAACAAACCCCAGTTTTAATACTCTCTATATATGAAATACCAGGAGTTAGCACCCTGATAAAAGCAGAGGTAATACACTTTCTCTGCATATTTGTACAATTTCTTGATGTAAAGAACAAAAATGACAACAAAACAAACATCATAAAAAGGCTTTCATAGTGGCAGTGCAGAGCTCTTTTAAATACAGAGTTGCATTCTTCAACACACCAGCAACTCTTTAAATTAGCATTTTTGACCCTTAATCCTCAAAAATGTGCAATTAGGAAATGTGCTAAGAGATCAGAGTGGTGGCAATGAAATTAAGGTCAAGGGCTCAAAGTGATCCAAAACTAATGACTATTTTACCTCTTCCCACTCATGCCCCAAACTGAGACTTCTGGGCGCAGATACCAAGACTAAGTAATGTATAGGTAAGTGTGACTTTTCCGTTTACTTAGGATTGCAATGTCCTCACTGGCCACAATAAAAGACGTATGATACCGGACACCCCCACCCCACCCAACTCATCCCCCAGGAAAAAAATGCTAACAAAGTCTTTTTGCAAATGTGGAATGAACCTTCAAACCCCGTTCCATGCCCAGTTCCTGTTAACTGTTAAGGCCCCAATAGTCTGCATGTTCTCTTCAGAGTCCAGCACTACATTTCTGCATCCCCATACCGTTTCATCCCGGACGTCCTGAATTCTAGCTAAGGGGGTGCTGGGCAACCAGCCGAGTTGGGGAATTCCGGAGACTGGAATAGGGGCTGAGAGCACGTTCAATAAGTCATGCTAGGGAGAGGAAACTACTAAGTTGCCTAGCGTCAAGGTGAGAAGACCGCCTAGACCAGGCAGTTTACTCAGAAAACGTTTCCCCAGCCACCCTCGGTCCCCAAGCCACAGGTGCCCCGTTAAGAGTCCTCCCGCCAACAAAGGCGGGGGACGCGAGGGCTAAAAGAGCTGAGGGAGCAGCAGCAAGATGGAGGCAAGCGGAGTCCAAGAGTCTTGGGGCGTCGAGCGGCAGCCGGCGCTGCTTCTGCGCCCCGGCCCATAAGGCAGGTCTCCGCGGCCCCCCGCCGCCGCAGCGCCGCCGCCCGGGCGCGGCGGGTGCGCGACGCCGTCGTCGTCGTCCAGGGGCTGCTCGCCTCCCGCCCCGACGCGCTGCTCCTCGTCGTATTCTTCGTCGTAGTAGTCGTCCAGGCCCCCGTCTGAGCCGCTGCTGCCCGGGCCATGGCCCAGCTCCGCACCGAAACACAGGCGAGCCATGTTCTCTTTGACCGACTCGCAGATGGGCCGCTCGAGGCCGTCGCAGACGCAGTCATTGAGCAGCGCCGCCTTGGGCACGGCCAGCATGTCCTCGATGACCGTGCGGCACTCGTCGGTGCACCTCAGCCCGTTGAAGAGCTTGCCGCAGTAGGTCAGGTAGCGGTTGAGCGCCAAGTTGCAGCGGCTGTCGCGGTCGCAGCGCCGCCGGGCCTCGGTGCAGCCCATGACCCCGCCCGCGCCCGGGCCGCCCGCGCCCCCGCTGCTCGTCCGCGGCAGGCAGGGCTCAATGGCGCGCTTGGTGGACTTGCAGTTTTCGTCCTGCGCGCAGTCACAGTCCTCCAGGGCGGGCCCGCGGCGCGTGTGGTTGAGCTGAATGAGCGCCGAGATGCAGTGGCTCGGGCAGCGCCAGCGCGTCGAGAAGGAGGCGGCCGAGGCCGGGAAAGCGGCAGCTGCCGCGGCCCCCGGGGTGTCGCTCCCGCTGCGCTGGGCCAGCACCGGCGCGCACGCCTCGGCGTACTGGTTGTAAGCGTAGCTGCACTCCGGCTCCCCCTGGCACTGCAGCAGCGCCTGCCAGCAGATGAGGCGGCGGCCGTGCGCCAGCCCCGAGCCCCGCGGCGCAGAGCCCAGCAGCTGCAGCAGCGCCATCAGGCACAGCCAAGGGCCCGGCCCCGTCCCCCCGCGGGCTCCGCCGCCGCCGCCCAGCAGCCCGACCACCATCGCGGGCAGCGGCGGCAGCCGGGCGAGTAGGGTAAAGGAGACGAGGCGCGCAGAGCGGCGGAATCTGAGCCAGTGGAAAAGTTTTCCCCGGTCCTGCCAACTTCTTGCATGAGTGTTTTCATAAATCCATGCGCGCCGCCGGCCGGTGCCCCGCTGCCTGCAGAAAGCTGGCTGTCGCCAGGGTGGCGGGGGCTTCTTAGGAACGTACAGCCGCGGAGAGCCCCGCCGATCGGTCCGCGGAGGTGGCGGGAGGGATCACTGCCGCCCCAGGGGGCTGCGGGCCGCTGGGCCGCGGCGGGGCGGCGGGACCGCGCGGCGCCGCGGGTGCATTTGCTCCCCGCCTGCAGATCCGCGGTACGGCAGAGCCAGGCTTCCTTCCTCCGGGTCTCAGCGCCGCGCCGCCGCCGCCGCCGCCGCCGGCGGCTCTCGCATCGCGCCGCTTCTGGCTCCCGTCCGTGCGCTGCCCGCCTTCACGCGGGCCTGCCGCCCGGTCCCCTCCCCCTCCGCCTGCGGCGACCCCGGCCTCCGCCGAACTCCCGGGAGCCCTTTCCGGGCGGCGCAAAGAGAACAAGAAATTCCGCGCGACCGGAGAGCTGCTGCCTGGCTGCCTTCAGCGGCGGCTTCTCCGGTGACCGGGAGCTCGGGGAGCGATCCTCTGACTCGGGCTGAGGACTTGCTTGCAGCGAGGCTTTAAATACAAAAATGGGCCGGGAGCCCCCGCGTGGTGCTGCGGTGCCCCCTCATTATGCATGCATGGAAAAGCAAACAAACAAAAACATTAGCAACGCTCCTCCGGCTCGCCGAGCCCTGGCCCCGCGCGCTCCAAGCCTGCCCGCTTTCTCCTTTCTCCACTCCTCCACTCTGTTTGGCCCTTTGCTCGGCCCCCTTTCCCGGCTTTTCGAGACGCTATTGGTCCTGCCTGTTGTTGTTGAAACTTTTTTTTTTTTTAACCAGCCGCTGGAGTGGGGTTGCGGAGTGGGGGAGGGCGGGGAGGGTGGTGGGCAGCTCACATTCAAGCATTCAGTGCTTGAAAGGAACGGCTTAAGGAGCCTGACCGGGGCCGAGAGCTCCTCCTACTTTTAAGGAGGCTCGAATCTGGAGCCCCAGCTCGCTCTCAGAACCAGCGGGCAGGGCTTAGGGCAGCTGTTTGCCTCCGGCTAGGTTACGGACCTAGGTTTTTGTTTGCTCCTTTTCCCTTTTTTCTAAGAGCTTTAGTAATTCTCCTTTACCCTATCTGTTCCTTCGACTGAGTTCAGAGCCCTGTTTTTTCGGATTCCTCGTTTTTGGGGTCCCCCATCATCACAGTGTGGAGCAAGAAAAACAGGGAACTTAATGCTGGACTTTGAAACGTAAAAAACGAGAGAGACCCGCTTTAATTCGGAGGGCGTTGATGAGATAGTTAGCCTACCCATGTCCACGGCCCGGCCCCGCTGTAGCGACCCGCTTCGAGACAGCCGTCATTGTCATTGCAAGGCATATCTAAGCACCCAGTTAAGTTTTTCGGAATCTAAGTTTCTTAACAGGGAGAGTGATGAAAAAAATAATACCAGCATTGAAGATTTTAAGGTATGTTGTCAGTACCAGCTGGCCGCAGTCAACAGATCGAGGAAGGGGGTAAATCGGCACGCACCAAGATTTTTATGAAAGTTTATTTCAGCCCCTCCCTCACTCAAAGGAAAGCCGCGCGGACCAGCGGTCTCTGCAGACCTGGCGCGGGAGTTTGCGAGCTACCTTAACTGCAGCGCAACTCAGTCTTCCACCACCAGAGGCACCGGCTTCTGAGGCCTGTCAAAAACTGGCGCTTTTTTCCTCCCCTTTCCGTGGGGAGACTATCAACTCCATCTGTCACAAAAATTAAGGCTAAATCTCCCCAGAAGCAGACGGAGCGGGGGCTCCAGTGTGCGCAGGTTGGACTGCCCGCCTCTCCCCGGAGGCCAAGTGAGTTTGAAATGGCAAAAGTCAGAATGAATCTACAGCACGTGGAGACTGAGCAGGCTGCATAAAGCCTTCTATTCCCGAGGCTGCTGCATTCCTCGAGGCTCTGGTCTGCCTTAGGAAGCAGCCCCTCTGCAGTCTACTGCGCAAGGCAAAACTAAACAAACCTTAGAGGAACTTGCTTGAAGTAAGGCAAACTGTCTGCTCTGACTTGAGTAGTAGAAAGCAAACAATATCGACCTATATTTTATGAAGGCAATAGAAACAAGTACTTCCAGGTTCTTTGTTTTGTTTTTTTTTTGTTTATTGTTTGGAGTTGTCCTTTTAGTTCTGCCAAGAGGGCCTGTAAAAGTCACAGTCCTCTATGACTTGGATCCTTCACATGGAAGGTTCAAGGCCAGATTAGACCCTTGAGAAAGTCCTTTCATCTTTAGTGCTCTGTGATTAAGGGCTCATAAGAGCATGTGAGCTGCATCTGTACGCGAATGTTTGTTGAGTTTCTGCAGAATGCTTTCCAACCTGGCAAGCACCAGACTTGCCAGGAGACCTGGTTAAGAACCAGATTGCCCTGCAGTTACTGATGCAATGCCTGTGTGGCTTGGCAGATTGCATTTCTAGCAAATTCTCAGGAGCTGCTGTTGCTGCTTCTTATCTGGGGACTAAACTTTGAGAACCACTACTCCAGAGGTTCAGATGTTTTATAGTTGTGTATCATAAATTTCACCATGCTGCCTCAGTGCGATTTAAGGGGAGCCCCTGATAACTTTGCAGGCTCTAGGGGTGCCTTGGCATCCTAATCTCACAACACTATAGGGCTTTAGAGCTATGGGTAAACCTGATAGACCAAACTTGAGATGGAGGTTCAGAAAAGAATGGAGAAGAATGAGCCCCTCCGGATAAACCTGGGAGGAGATGGGCATCACATTCAAGTTTTCATGAATAGCCACTGGGCTTCCAAGCCACCCCTCATCACTCAAACACTCATCTCTATGTGTCTCGTATACTTATTAAATTCCCATATGAGCTTCCTTTAATTCTTCACCCCCAAACTTTACTTCCACTAGAGTTTTCATCTGTTCTCAGTCAGTTTTCCCATGCCTTTAATCTGCTTTGGGTGTTTCTTACTCTAACACCCATCTGAATCTTATGGAGTAGGGAAAAGTACTTTCTAAGCACATGTCAAATAAGGGACTAATATCCAAAACATATAAGGAACTCATAGAACTCAATAGCAAAAATAAACAATTTAAAAAAGAAATGGAGAGAAGACTTGGATAGACATTCTTTCAAAGAAGACAAAACATGGCCAACAGACATTTGAAAAGATGCTGTCACACCTCATTTATTAGAATGGCTATTATTAAAACAAAATATAACAACTATTGCTGGCAAGGATGTGGAGAAAAGATAACCCTGGTGATTTGTGAAAATATAAATTTTTGCCTTCATTATGGAAAACAGTTCGGAGGTTCCTTGAAAAATTAAAAATAGAGCCGCCATGTGATCCACTAATCTCACTTCTGTGTTTTTATCCAAAGGAAACTACAGCAGATTGTCAAAGAGGTATGCTCACTGGAACATTACTTAGAATAGCCAAGATATGGAAATAATCTAAAAATCCTTCCATAGATGAATGGGTAAAAAATATGCTGGATATACACAACGGAATATTATTCAACCATGAAAAAGAAGGGAATATTTCCATTTGTGACAACATGGTTGGACCCTGAAATAACACAAAAACATATTGTATGAATTCATAGATGAAGTTTTATAAAAAGAGAAATCATAGAAACTAAGTGTAGAATGGTGGTTACTAGGGACAGAGTAGGCAGAATGGGTCAGTGTGGGTAAAAAGAGTTTTCTAGATTGTAACATACAACATGGCTATTATACTTAATAATACTGTATTTTATACTTAGAAATTACTGTGAGATTAGTGCTCGAATGTTCTAATCAGGTAAGAAGAACAATGGCAAAACAATCCTTGTATGAGGATGTGTTAACCAACGTTATTTAAGTATGTATTTCACTATATATGTATATCAAATCACGTTGTACACTTTATACTTCTACTATAATATAAATATATCTTGATAAAGCTGGGAAAAAACAAAGACAGCTGGCCTTTCAGGCACTGTATCTATTTTAGTACTCTTTTAAAAAAAAATCTATGCATAGAAAAGCTGGGGTATAGGCTTGGAAGTACAGGGGTGGTGGGAAGGCAGCATGGAGGGGGAGATGAAGAGGCAGAGTGGGAAGCAGAACAGGCAGAACTGAAATTCACTGCTGAGGGTAGCAGAGGGCAAGACAGCATAGGTCTGCTGAGCCATGTGGGTCACCTCCCTGGCTGGGGATTGAACTCGTGCTACAGTGACTGCAGATAGCTTCATAGTGCTGCACTTTAACCACTTGTGGCACCAGAGAGGGCCCTCTACCAATGATAATAGATAAGCAGTACCATTCAGGATGCAGAGAACTTAATCAATCTCATGCATGGGAGCTGTATCAACACTATAACAGAGAAGAAATCTATGAGTAAGATAGAGGCAGAATTGCTATTCTGCTCCCCACTCTGTCTCTGGTGAATCCTCTCACCAGCCCTGCACCTCCAGCCTGTACCCCAGTTCTGCATGTATTAAAAAAAAAAAAGGATAGAGGCAGAATTGATTATAGAGTGGATCTTCCTACCACAAGAGGCTGGGGCCACCGTTCAGTACAGTCTGTTGTTTTTGCAGCTGGTTTGAACTGGAGTTCACTGTGGACTGGCAAGACAGACAGCCTGGGAGGAGAGCTGGGGCAAATTGGGCATTATGAGAAAACCAGCTCCTGTGGGGATGGATTGGAACTGATGTCTTCCTGGTCATCCAACCTCAGTGCCACAGGGCTTCCCCTTTGCAGGGAAGCTGATGCCCTTCTTGGGGAAGCTGTTACACGTTTGCCAGGACTTGGAGAGGCTGAAGTAGGAGGGTTGGATAGAGCTGAGGAAGCTCAGGTCACACACTAGTCCACGCTAACCTTGGGTTATGTCAAATCAGCAACAACGGACGAATTGCCAAAGTACCTAGTGCCCTCTAGCCACAAATGTAGTTGTTGTTTCACTTTCTAGTCAAAGTTTTCTTGTGGACAGTTTTCTTGTGGAGAGCCATATAGAAAATTTTGCTCTGGGAAACAGTTACAGGTTAGCTCTTGACAGTACAGGGCAACCTTAGAAGTGTTGGGCATTTGGGCTGTATTCTCTCACACATGCACATCCTTGGGGATTCAGCACCTAGCTTGCTGTTTTTATTCTCTAGATTACTTATCATTCATCACAATCTCAGCCTCTTAGTTCCTTGACTTCCTCACATCAAACTACCAACTCTTAATTCCTTAGAATTAGCATCACTGCTATAACTACATTCCTTTGAAAATCTCTAT